TAAGATTATCACAAATGTACAGTTTTGCACCTGGATTATTGAAAGCAAAAGAGCTCTATTATATATATCATCTTACTGAATAGTAGAAGCTTGTCAAAGATTATTCATAGAAAAGCAGCTTTTGGAACTCATTATGTTCTCTAAGAATGTATGTTTTTGACTGGGCGCGGTGGCTCATGCCTGTAATCCCAGCACTTTGGGAGACTGAGGCAGGTGGATCACCTGAGGTCAGGAGTTCAAGACCAGGCAAAATCTCACCTCTACTAAAAATACAAAAAAAAAAAAAAGAAAATGTTTTTCAAAAATTACTTTTGAAAGACTAAAGCTCTGTAGTTGATAAAACTAAAAAATGTCTTTATGTATTTATATGGCAATAGAAACTGTAAAACACTTTATACCATTAAACACACATAGGAAATTAACATCTTCCATAAAATTTACCCTTTTTGTACAATTTGGCAATGCTAACAGCTGCAGAAAACATATTAACCAACCAACAATTGCTTCATTAGAAACTGCACCAAATCCAATGTCAAAAACGTTACTTTATTTTTCTAGGATGAAATGTCCTATTACGTACAAAAGAATTGCTGTTTAGAATTTGCCACAAGTTGTTAAAAACATAGCAATCTATTGCCTACAGGTAGGAAAGTTCTTGTTGCAACAAATTTTAAATGATTAAGCCCATATATATTTATATATATGAATAAATAGTACAGAAAAACTGTGATGTGATGAGATGCAGAATAATTTTATAATTCATTAAAATGTAGAATTCTTGCATCAGCACAGTGCATACAATATGTAACATTTTTTTAAAAAGTAAAAGGACAAAATAACCCATATTTAACTACTTCCATCTTAATATTTTAAGCAAAAATGTTTTCATATTGAGCGATTAGTCTCTTTAGTTTGTAAGCATAGGTTTAAGTGACATCTTTATGTACAAAAAGGAATGGGCTTCATTAGATAAAATTAACACAGAATAACCTGTACACCTGAGCCTGTAGTAAGAAATGGGGAACTGTAGCAACATCTTTCTTTTAAGAAACTGAGGTCTGGGAAAGGTTTTGCATAGCAGGGAAACATTAAAAGGAAAGCAAATTTTAAAAACAATAATTAAATTCCAGAAGTTGGTAGGACAAAGCTAATATGAGTTAGTGCAAAATCTAGTAAAATTTTTGCAAAGCTGCATAATCCAACTATGGCAGATTTTATAGAAGCTATTACCACAATGCAGTAATACAACGTGTAAGAACACTGAAAGGAAAAACATGCAAAATACATCCTCCTCTGTGGTTTCCATTTTCTCGATACTGCTTACACTACTTTTCCTTACGTGGAACAAACCAACCAACAAACAAAAACCAAACCCAGTCAACAAACAACACAGAGGATGAGGTCATCTAAAAAATGCCCTTCATAAAATGTAAGTAGCTGTCTGTAATTGGTAATTTGCCTGGTATCACAGAAGGTACAGATGGAGGCAATGTGTATCTTGTCATTAGTATGATCAACTGATGCAACAGGATTAGCACCCCTGAAGACTTTTCTTTGACATGATGACAATGGACTGGGAATGATAAAACGAAGGGCCACTGCTGTCCTGGAGAAGTCCAGGCACAATTAGATTCTTCTGCCGTTTATGACCTTGCAGCCCTCCCTCCCCACAAAGGCTTACAGATATTCATTAGCGCACATTCAAAGACACCTCTGTCTGTGGGAGAAAAATCATCTCCATTTATTTTGTTTCATATACATCCATAGTTGAATTTTAATACAAAAAGAAAAAATTAGAATCTGACAAATGTTTACAAACAAGATACCTTCAAATAGATTTTACTCATTTTAGCCTGGTGCGGAGTAATTGACAAATTGTACTGTTATATTCAAGGCAACAGAGTCTGTAGTCCAGGACCACCTAGCCCAACCTTTATGCAAGCTTAATTTTAATCTACCATGAACAATAAACTCATTGTTGATTCCCAGTTGTGTGTGTGTGTGCACATGTGTACATAGCAGCTCCTTTCATAGAAAGAAAAGACATCTAGAGGTCGTCTTGTACTTTTACCTACAGGAATCATGATAAGATACAGATGGATTATATGTAACCGGGGCTGGATTTTATAAGAAAAAATAATTAGCTGACAAATGAGGGCAGCAATAAAAAAGCGTCTTTTTTGCAACAATAAATAAATACAGTCAAAAGTTTTCTGTGAGACTCTAAACCAGCTTCTTCACTGAAGAGCAGACGTGGCATTTCCATGGAGTTACACTTGACCCCATAGTATCTTTTTTTCTTGCTTTCTTTTTCTTTTTTTTTCAATAAACAAAGTTTTCTCGCTTCTGCCACAATAGTAAAACCATTTGATCTTGACAAGATAATGGTGTCGTTGACTTTGCTTTTTTCTTGTCCGTTGGACAAAATTGGCCAAGAATATAATTGGACTGTTATGACCAATAAAAACGAAGTTAAGGTCAAGTCTTGTCAGGATAGCCTGACTAAAAACATCTGGCTCCTTAATTTAAAATAGTTCAGACAACCAGATTCTTGCTGTGTTTTATGTTAGGTTAACACGCTGAACTTTAAGAAGCTGTAGACTGCAGTTTGTTGTTATGAGACCTACAGAATATAGAAAAAAGGGAACAATTAAGCACCCTTCATTTTGGAAAACAATGATGCTTTATGCGGATGCCAAGGTCAGTCAGTCTGGGATAAGCAGCCATGTTCTTTCATCACCCTTGGCAAGTGAATATAAAAGAACGATGAAGAAATTTTTAACCTATACTATTAAAATTTTTCACTGTACACTAAACGATAACAGCTCACTGGAAAAAGCCAATATTTAAAATATATATATATTTGTCTAAAAAGATTACAACATTTTCAGCCAACTGGACAAATAGAGACATTTACAGAAGCATCACCATTGTGGTGAAAGATGTGTGTGTGTGTGTGTGTGTGTGTGTGTGTGTGTGTGTGTGTGTGTATTTACAATGATGAGAGGAATATAAAGGGAAAAATTATGCTAAAACAAAAGAAAAAGCAATCTTAAAATCACATTTTTCTATTAAAGTCCAGAAAGTCTCCCTTCTAGTTTCACAGTTTTATTCACAACTTTCATTAGTAAACCAAATTACTGTACAGTTATCAGGACTAAGTCAAAGGGCTTTATATTGCAATATTAGATAAATGCAGTATTCCAAGAGTTTACAATTTTTAAATACATTGCTCAACATGGCTGCTAGAATAAACTTTTTTACCACTATACATCTTTAACATTAAAAAATTATATTAACTAATCTGACTTTTGGGGGGCAATTTTGAATTAGGTAATCATGAGGTACAATAAAAAACAGTGACCCCAACATCCAGTTCTGATTCCAGTTAAAAATTCAGACTAAAGATATCACAATCTGTAAGAAAAGAAAGAATATGGATGGTATAAATGATGAATTATAACGAAGCGCAGTAATGAAAACAATGTGCAAACACTGCTGGAGATCATAAATTAAAATGGGAAAACATGCCAAAGGAAATTCTGGAAATCCATAAATAAATCAAGTTTCAATAACTGGCTAATTATGTTTCATTCTGCCTTAAATATGGAAAGCAATAGAAATTCCCTAAAAAGGCAACAGCGACTTGCTGTTATACAATTCTTCACGTTGTAATTTTTTTAAATTTGTTTGGACACAGGGTCTCACTCTGTAGCCCAGTCTGGAGTGCAGTGTCCCAATCATAGCTCACTGCAGCCTCAACCTCCAGGGCTCAGAATCCTCCCACCTCAGCCTCCTGGGTAGCTGGGACAACAGGCATGTGCCACCATGCCCGGCTAGTTTTTTATATTTTTTTTGTAGAGATGGGGGTTTCCTCATGTTGCCCAGGCTGGTCTCAAACTCCTGGGCTCAAGCGAACTGCCTTCCTTGGCTTCTCAACCTGTTGGGGTCACAGGCGTGAGCCACTGCGCACAGCTTAAGCTATTTAAGCAGAACTGAGCAAACTTCTCGATTCAGCTCCCATGTGCTTTAATGAAAATTATGTCAACTTGAGTATATTAAAAAGCTACATAAAATAACCAGGTGGCAAGAAGACATTCTAAGTGGCCCCTTCACTATGCAGGCCCAGCCTAGGCCTCCTTCCACCCTTTACCAAATTCCCTTTGTCTTGCCACGGGCCCCAGGACCCCCAGGCAATTTCCTCTCCTTCATCAGCAGTTGGCAGTAGTCATCCTCTGGGTTCTGCTGGCAAGCCTGGCGGCAGGGTAGGAGTCACATCCCTTGGCTTCTACCTCACAGTTACCACCAAAGGTCTTTCCAATTTAAAAAAGCAATTTTAGAAATTGAACCAGAGGAATAACCACGATGTACAAATCAAAAAGCATAGAGAGGCTTATAATGAGAAGTTGTGCTCCTCTGTCCTACCTTAACTCCATCTGAAATCCAGGCTCCCTATAATCAATCACTTTGACTTTTCAGTTCTCTGGGTAGATTTATTTATTTATTTAATTTTAATTAATTAATTATTTTTTTTTAAAGACAAGGGTTTCACCATGTTGGTCAGGCTGGTCTTAAACTCCCGATCTCAGGTGATTCGCCCGCCTTGGCCTCCAAAGTTTTTGGATTACAGGCATGAGCCACCACACCCGATCCCTATTTATTTTTTGAGACGGAGTCTCACTGTTGCGAGGCTGGAGTGCAGCGGGGCGGTGGGGCGATCTCGGCTCACTGCAACCTCCTCCTCCTGGGTTCAAATGATTCTCCTGCTTCAGCCTCCCGAGTAGCTGGGATTACAGGTGCCCACCCCCATGCCCAGCTAACTTTTATATTTTAGTAGAGGCAAGTTTTCACTCTGTTGGCCAGGCTAGTCTCGAACTTCTGACCTCAAGTGATCTGCCCACCTTGGCCTCCCAAAGTGCTAGGATTATAGGCATGAGTTACCACACCCTGGCAGGGCAGATTTTTTTTTTTGAGACAGTTTCACTCTTGTTGCCCAGGAGTGTAATGGTGGAATCTCAGCTCACCACAACCTCCACCTCCAGGGTTCAAGTCATTCTCCTGCCTCAGCTTCCCAAGTAGCTGGAATAACAGGCATGCACCACCATGCCTGGCTAATTTTGTATTTTCAGTAGAGAGTTTAAGTTCAGAGTTTCTCCATGTTGGTCAGGCTGGTCTCCAACTCCTAACCTCAGGTGATCCACCAACCTCAGGTGATCCACCCACCTCAGCCTCCCAAAGTGCTGGGATTACAGGCGTGAGCTATTTCGCCTGGCCCTTTTTTTTGAGACGGAGTCTCACTCTTATCTCCCAGGCTGGAGTGTACTGGTGTGATCTACACTCAAGGCAACCTTCGCCTCCCAGGTTCCAGTGATTCTCCTGCCTCAGCCTCTCCAGTAGCTGGGACTTACAGGTGTGTACCACCACATCTGGTTAGTTTTTTCATTTTTAGTGGAGACAGAGTTTCACCATGTTGGCCAGGCTGGTCTCAAGCTCCTGACCTCAGGTGATCCGCCCACCTCAGCCTTCCGAAGTCCTGGGATTACAGGCGTGAGCCACCATGCCTGGCCTAGGTAGATTTCTTACGCTGCTGTTTCTTGTTTTATCAACTTTTGTTAAGCCCTGCTATGGCAAATGACAACCAAGCTCAGTTACCCACTTTCCCACTTCCCTTTTTGAGTCCAAGTTTTATTTCTGTATAACTTAAAAATTATATAATTCCATGCTTTGTCTGTAGGCAGATTATAAAAGTTGACAATCTATGTCATTATTTTCCCTTTTTTAATTATTTTTGAGACGGACTTTTGCTCTTGTGGCCCAGGCTGGAGTGCAATGGTGTAGTCACTGCAACCTCCGCCTACCAGGTTCAAGTGATTCTCCTGTCTCATCCTCCCAAGTAGCTGGGATTACAGGCATGCACCACCACACCTGGCTAATTTTTGTATTTTTAGTAGAGATGGGTTTTCTCTAAATTGGTCAGGCTGGTCTCGAACTCCTGACCTCAGGTGATCCTTGGCCTCCCAAAGTGTTGGGATTACAGGTGTGAGCCACTGCGCTCGGCCTAATGGCATTATTTACATTATTACGACAACATAAATATTTTTCTCTGTAGCACCTAATGCTTTGCTAATAGGGCATTCTTTTTTTTTTTTTTGAGACAGGGTCTTGTGTCATCCAGGCTGGAGTGTAGTGGCATGAATATGGCTCACTGTAGCTTCTACTTCCTGGGCTCAATCCTCCCACCTCAGCCTCTGGCGTAGCTGGGACCACAGGTGCACATGACCATGCCTGGCTAATTTTTGTATTTTGTAAAGATGGGGTTTCGTCATGTTGCCCAGGCTGGTTTAGAATTCCTGGGCTCAAGCATCCTCCTGCCTCAGCCTCTCAATGTGTTAGGATTACAGGCATGAGCCACTGTGACCCGCCAATACGGCAATGTTACACAACTTTCTGTTTTTAGTTGTGTTTCTAATTGCCTTTCATTTTTATCCCTGACATTCTTTGGCTTAATCATAGCCTTATGTTTTTCTGTCTTAAATAAATTATCTAATGTGTGAGTCATTTGCTTGCTCTACTGACCCTCTGGGGAGTGCTCCATTCTCCTGCTAGGATTTGGACTGCCTACCACACAGCCTGCTTCCAAATGTCACTTTGGGTCAGAGTAATTCTCAGTGCTTTCCTGAATCTCTTGTTTTCTGAACCCAAATGAACAAATAAAAATTTCTGGCAGGGCTCGGTGGTTCACCCCTGTAATAATCCTAGCACTTTGGGAACCTGAGGTGCTTGGATCACCTGAAGTCAAGAGTTTGAGACCAGCTTGGCCAACAAGGCAAAACCCCGTCTCTACTAAAAATACAAAAATTAGCTTGGTGTGGTGGTGGGTATCTGTAATTCTAGCTACTTGGGAGTCTAAGGCAGGAGAATCCCTTGAATCCGGGAGGCAGAGGTTGCAGTGACCGGAGATTGCGCCACTGCACTTCAGCCTGGGCACCAGAGTGAGACTGTCTCAAAAAAAAAAAAAAATAAATAAATAAATCTGGCCCAGCGCAGTGGCTCACAGCTATAATCCCAGCACTTTGGTAGGCCAAGGCTGGCAGGAGGATCGCTTGAGTTCAGGAGTTCAAGACTAGCTTGGGTCATATAGCAAGACCCCGTCCCTAATTAAGAACATATATTATTAAAAAGGAAAAAAAAATTGTTTCATTATTTTTGATAGCACACATTTTTTTTTTTCCTGAGGTAGAATCTCACTCTGACACAACCAGGCTGGAGTGCAGTGGCACGATCTCGGTTCTCTGTAGCCTCTGCCTCCCGGGTTCAAGTGATTCTCACGCCTCAGCCTCCTGTGGAGCTGGGATTACAGGTTTGAGCCACTATGCCTGGCCAATAGGACATACTTTTAAAATTAAAACACCTGCCAAGAAAGGATGCCTTGAATCCTTACATGACTAAAAATGTATTTATTCTGCCTCTACACTTAACTGTTTAGCTGGACATAGACTTCTAGGCTGAACATCATTTCTTCTTAAACATTTAGATTTATTCTTCCACAACCTTCTAGTACTAAATGTTGTAACAGAAAAATCTGACACCAATCTAATTCTTATTTTATAGATTGTCCGTTTTATCTATGAGTTTCTTTTATTCTTAGCATCTGGAAATTTCATAGTGATTTATGTAGGGGTGAGTCTTTTTCCATCTGTCCACCTGGTTTATGATGTTTATCAACTGTCCCCCTTGTTCCCCCAACTCCTCATAGAGCGCAGGGGCTTTAATACAGTCACTGCTAAATTCCCTGTATCTGGCACACATCAGGTTCTCGAATTTCAAGTCCTGTTGCTCTAATCAGCTCAGGAAATTTTTCTTTTATTATTATTTTTGTTGTTGTTGTTGAGACAGGGTCTCACTCTGTCACTTAGGATGGAGAGCAGTGGTGTAATCACAGCTCACTGCAGCCTTAAACTCCTGGGCACAAGTGATCTTCCTGTTATAGCCTCCTGAGTAACTAGGACTACAGGTGCACACCACTATGCCTGATTAATGAAAAAAAAAATTATTTTTCTCGCTCTGTCACCCAGGCTGGAGTGCAGTGGCGCCATCTCGGCTCACTGCAACCTCTGTCTCCCAGGTTCAAGCAATTCTTCTGTCTCAGCCTCTCGAGTAGCTGGAAGCACAGGCACATTCACCATGCCAGGCTAATTTTTATATTTTTAGTAGAGATGGGGTTTCACTATGTTGGCCAGGCTGGTCTCAAACTCCTGACCTCATGATCTGCCCACCTCGGCCTCCCAAAGTGCTGGGATTACAGGCGTGAGCCATTGTGCCTGGCTCAGTTCTAGATTTTGTAGTTTCTTGGCTCTTGGTTGATAGCCTGCTGCCTACTTTTCTTTCTTCCTTGCCTCTGTGTGTGTGTGTGAGTGTGTGTGTGTGTGTGTGTGTGTGTGAGTGAGGTATGTGATATATTTTATTCCTTTGCTGAGAATTAAAATTGGATACTTTACCTGTGCTTTTCCTTCTTTTATTTATTTTTTATTTTTTAAAGAAGCAAGGTCTTGCTGTGTGAGTCACCTAGGCTGCAGTGGAGTGGCTTGATCACAGTTCACTGCAGCCTCAAACTCCTGTATTCAAGTGATTCTTCTACCTCAGCCTCCTGAGCAGATGGGACTATAGGCACTCATCACCAAGTTTGCTTAATTTTTTTTTTTTTTTGTAGTAGAGACAGTGTCTCATACTGTGGCCTAAGCTGGTCTTGAATTCCTGGCTTTAAGCGATCCTTCCCCCTCGGCTTCCCAAAGTACTGGGATTACAGGCATAAGCCACCTTGCTTGGCCTTTCACTTTTATTTAGGTAAACTGCCTTTAAAATATCCCCTTAGTAAACATCTTCCTTGCTACAGGAGAAGAGAGCAAAGCACATGATGACCTTTCCTCAAAGGAAGATCACTAGGTAGAGCACTGATTCTTACATTTCCTCAGTGCTTTTGTGTTATTAGCGGTTCAAAGAAAAGGTCTATGAGTTTAAAATCCAGGCTGGGCGCAGTGGCTCATGCCTGTAATCCCAGCACTTTGGGAGGCCGAGGCAGGTGGATCATCTGAGGTCAGAAGTTTGAGACCAGCCTGGCTAACATGGTGAAACCGCGTCTCTAAAAAAACAAAAAACAAAACAAAACAAACAAACAAAAAAGGCCGGGCGTGGTGGCTCACGCCTGTAATCCAAGCACTTTGGAGGCCAAGGTGGGCGGATCACCTGAGGTCAGGCGTTCAAGACCAACCTGACCAACATGGTGAGACCCTGTCTTAAAAAAAAAAAAAGAAAAATCCAGCTTGGCCCACAGAAAAAATATCCAGAAAAATATAACATTTTATGATTATAGCAACATAAATTAAAGAGAAAGTACTTAAAGCCCTCCCTTAGGGATCTTCCTCCTACTCTACCTGATAGAGCTGTCATGTCTGTACTCCTCAATTCACTAATCAAGATGTAAACTCATGAGAGCAAGAGCTCTGAATACCTTTATACATGCCCAGTGGCATTTAAGACAGCATCTTGCATTCTGTAGGTATTTGATACATGCTTTTTGAATTTTTTATTTTTATATTTTTGAGATGGAGTCTTGCTTTCTCACCCAGGCTAGTGTGCAGTGGCGCAATCTTGGTTCACTGCAACCTCTGCCTCCTGGGTTCAAGTGATTTTCCTGTCTCAGCCTCCCAAGTAGCTGAGATTACAGGTGCCCACCACTATGTCTGGCTCATTTTTGTATTTTTATCTTTTTTTTTTTTTTCATTTTTGTATTTTTAGCAGAGACACAGTTTCCCCATGTTGGTCAGGATGGCCTAGAACTCTTGACCTCAGGTGATCCACCTGCCTTGACCCAACGTGCTGGGATTATAGGCGTGAGCCACTCCACCTGGCTGCTTTTTGAATTAAAAAAAAAAAAAAAAAAAAAAAAGACCTTTAGGCAGATCAGCAACAAACGCAGCAATTTCCCAATATTTTGTCTATCCACTTCTCCTTGGCAGTAGATCACAAAACTGGAGTCTTGATTTTTTTTTTTTTAATATTTAAGGTTAAATTTACCATAAACTGCACTGGTTGAATCTTTCGACAGGACGGTATAAAGAGTTTAAATTGCTGAATTAATTCAGAACACTGAACCCATTTGCTCACCTGCTAGCTTTGAATCCTTTCAATTTCTGTACAAAGAATGATTCAAGAACTTCTGCACACTGGTAAAATGGGGAGTCACTTGGATTGTAGTAACGACAGTTATCAAAAATTTTGGTCATATCTGCCACAAATTCCGTCAGCTTTTCATAATACCGTCTTTGTACTCTTTCTTCCATGGTGGCAAGGTCTTAAAAACACAAAATGTAAAACATTTTCAGAGTTTTAAGGTTTTTCCAGTGTGAATATTCTCCGAGGTTCTAAGAAGTATATATGTTTACTGGGCAAGCAGTCCTGGAACCAGGCTGGTTCACACTGGAGGCTATTTTGCAATTCATGAAGAACATAAGAGTACTTCTCCAATTTTGTTTCTGATTGAGGTTCTAAAATATAAATCCTGATTGCTGTTAAGAAGGTTCTTTTACTTTCAGTTAGCTGCATAGAACAGCTCTTCCTTCAAGTGGTTTGAGATTAAGGAAACATAGCAACATGATCTATGCATATCTAAGTATAATACATTTTTACATGCAAACAATTTAGTATATGTACAAAGCAAAGGTGGGAATCCAGGATTAAGAACAAAATCTCTGTACTAGTGGCTTTATGATCTTTGTATTAGACGTTAATAACATCATTTTGCTTTATTCATTTTTATTGTTACCTTATATTTGTGACAAGTGAGACTGTCCTACCATTCATGACTGCAATGACAAAAGTGGCTACTTAAAATGAATGTACGGGAAAAATACCAGCTGATACAAATATTAGTATGTAACAGTGCAGGCAAAAAGTAGAAAGGAGAAAATCATTATGGTGCTAGATGGCTGTGATCTTGTGAACTAAGTATTTGGTCTTTGTCCCCCTTTCCTGATGACACTTAGCTCTTAACTGGCTGGAATCTCCGGAGTGACAAGTTTCTTTTGTATGTTAATGACTGGTGGCTGGAATTCCTTAGATAGCTTCGGGATGGGGGCTGGTCACCGGAAAGACCTGGGCAGGATTAGAGGGTAGGGACTTTTAGTCCCATCCCCCAACCTCCGGAAGGAGAGAGGGGCTAAAAGCTGATCACCAAAGGCCAATGATGTAATCACTCATGCGTACATAAAGAAGCTTCCCTAAAAACCCAAAAGGGCTACGTTTGAGAGCTTCCTGATACAGCTGAACATATGGAGGCGACTGGCGGGTGGTGCCCAGAGAGGGCATGGAAACTCCGTGCCCCTCCCCATAGCGTTGCAGTGTGCGTCTTCTCCACCTGGTGTTCATCGGGATCCTTTGCAATATCTTTAATAAACCGGTAAGTGTTTCCCTGAGTTCTGAGAGCTGCTCCTGAAAATTATTGAATCCTAGGAGAGGCTTGTGGGAACCCTGATTTATAGCTAGATGGTCAGATGTGCAGGTAAAACAACCTTGGGCTGGTGACTAGCATCTGAAGAGGGGGTAATCTTGGAGACAGAGCCCCCAACCTGTGGGATCTGACCCTATCTTCAGGTAGATAGTGTCACAATTGAATTGAATTAAATTAGAAGACACCCAGTTGGTGTCTGAGGCAGACTGCTGGATTGGTTGTTCCTGGGGCGAAATCCCCACCCACTTCTTGGTGACCAGAGATCACAAAACAGAATTCTCCCAGCTTGATTACTGTAGTGTGAGAGCACAGGAAAACAAGTTTATTTTCTGGATGTACAGCAGGCAACTGCTTTGGAATGTACTGACTGAGATAAATCTACCTGAAACAACATTGATCCTAGGAGAACGCTGGGTTTGAAAGAAAATTCTGTATACAATTTTACATAAAAATCTGAGAGAGCGAAAGGCCAGTAATCTCAAATCGATCAAGGGTGGATAGACATAGACAATATATTCCAAACTAAAGCTCAGTGAGTACTTCAGAATTTGAAAAAGTGATGTGAAAGTTCATCCAAGAAATCGAAGTACAAGAATACCTAAGAAACATCTGAAGAGTAAAAGTAATGAGAGAGAATTTTACCTGTCAGACATTAAAAAGTATTATCAATCTGTGATAATGAAGTGTGGCGGCATGCAGAGTAACACAAACACTAGTGGAGCCAAGTTCACAACAGGAACAGATCTAACTGTATCTAGTATAAGAATTTCACATATGTTAAGGATGCCACTTCAAATCAGCAGGGAAAGAAAGAGTTCATTCATGAATGGGTTTGCAGGCCCGGGTGGCTCAAGCCTGTAATCCTAGCAATTTGGGAGGTCTAGGCAGGCGAATCATCTGAGGTCAGGAGTTCGAGACCACCCTGGCCAACACATCGAAAGCCTGTCTCTACTAAAAATACAAAAATAAGCTGGGCGTGGTGGCACATGCCTTTAATCCCAGCTACTAGAGAGGCTGAGGCCGGAGAATTGCTTGAACCGAGGAGGCGGAGGCTGCAGTGAGGCAAGATTGCACCACTGCATTCCAGCATGGGCAACAGAGCAAGACTCTGTCTCAAAAAAAAAAAAAAAAAGGGTGGGGGAGTTGGGGTAACTGCTGCCTACCTATCTGAAAAAGAAAAGTTCTATCTGACATTATATGTCAAGATAATTCTGGATTTATTAAAATTCAAGGGCAAAAATTAAAACCATAAAAAGTACTATGAGACACAAAGCTGTAAATGTAATAACTGTATATACAGAAATGATTAAAATGGCAATTTTGTTATATGTATGTTAGTATACACACAGACACACACACATACACTAGTCTTTGAAAGCTCCCGTATATGTAGGGGAAAAAAATGTGTAAATGTGAAGAACTGTGAAAATACATATAGCTTGATTCCAAGCAAGACTTGGGACATCCATTCTGTAGGTTTATGTAAGGCGTTCAAAAAAGAGACAACACATCACACTAGGACATTCCTGTTTCATACTTATTTTATGTTCTGGTTACTTATTACTTGACTAATTTTCATTTTAATAAAGTATGTGAATAATGCTTGGACATTTTATGGTTCCAAGTTAATTAGGCATCCCTTAAAAAAAAGTCCTAGAAGGACACATAGGTGAGTATATATCATGGAGTAGGAAAAAGACTCCAAGCATGACACTAAGGGACAAATATATAATGATTAATAGACATAAATCCGGCTGGGCGCGGTGGCTCACGCCTGTAATCCCAGCACTTTGGGAGGCTGAGGCGGGTGGATCA